AAACCTTGAAAGTTGGTCTGGAGGTGCAACCGCCTGCTCTCCCGCCGCCATGTTTACTGTCGCTGGTAACAAGCCCGAACGTGGTGGTTTATAACCATCGCCATCTCGTTATCTCTTAGGAGTCTGTGGCCGGGAGTGTGGGCCAGCACATATCTGCTCCCCAAGGTGCCTTCCAGGGCAGGGCGTCCAGGGTCACTTCCTCGCTCACGTGTTTGATGCCGGCCGGTCAGCGGCAGTTCTGTGCTCCTGACATGAGAGCTCAGTGCCCCTCCGTGTACCTCAGGGTCTCTCTCATGCCAGTCTCTGCAGCAGAACCCTCCTCTGATCTCTCACAAGTCTGCTGGGCTCCCAAGGCATGGAAACAGGAGCGGCCAGGCCTCTGAAGGCCTTGGCCAGAGTGGTCACAGCGTAATTTCACCACATCATATTGGTTAAATGGACATAGGGCCCAGGACCACACCCAGGAGCTGGGCTTTTGAGGGTCATCTTTGGAGACTGGCTACTTCCGTCTGACCTCGCACATGCAGAATACCCTCACCCCGTCTCCAGATTCACAGTCTCATCCCAGCATCCGGCTCAGACTGGAAGCTCAGGGTCACTGTCTACATCAGGTGCATGTGTGGATGAGACTGCTCAGCTCTGATGCTTTCATCTAAAGACCAGGGAGCTTGAGAGCCAAGTTACCTTGCGCGCGTGCGCACAGTGCCACAGTGCCGACACAGACAGGTGACCTGTAGCCCACAGCACTTCTGAGCCCAACGGGCACATGTTCTACCCCACCCTGCTCTGGTCACAGGGAGTGTGTTCTGCTTGGGACGGGGGCATCCTCCTTCGCCCTGGGCTCTGCTGTCTAGGCCGGCCTTCCTTTTCCATAAGTTGTGGCCTGTTGTCACATCTGTGTGGCTTTCTTAGCCTGCTTCCTGCTCCATGTACGTCGAGTGCCCAAAGTGAAAAGATTCATTTTGAACGTTGTACCATTTAGTCATATGTGGCATATAATTCCTTTAAATATCTTGTGGGTGTCCTTTGTATCCAATGACCGTCCATTTCATTAGACAAGCCAGTCCACAGCTCCTTATCTCTAATATACAAATCTCTATTGGAAGGGTCCATGCGTTCCTGCCCTCAGTCCTGCTGCGTTCTCATGGGGCAGCGTGTCCGGCTGCCAGACCTTTGGCGGGGTCTGTATTCTGAGATCACGTCTACTGACACCCCCTGGATTTGATCTTCATCCTCAGGCCAGTTCTACTGGCAGGAGAAGCTGGGGGCCAGAGATGATTTTCTCATGGTTCAGCCCAGCATGACTTTTAAATTGGAAACATTTTTTTCTGGTCCTGCTTGGAAACTCTCCTTGGGGTTATTGGAGCCAGCAGCCAGGCTGCTGGGCATCCCCGTGGGCAGCAGGCCTGGGACCGTTCTGCTAGCCAGAGCACAACTCGGCTCCGTCTCCGTCTCTAACCTTGGGTAGCACTTTCCTCACGCCCCCTCAGCCTCCACTGCAGCTACGTCCTCACCAGCCTCAGCCAGCGCTGGTGCCAAGCCTGTGGTTTTTATTTTTATTACAGCAATACAGGATGCTAGCTCTGTTTTTCTTATCTATTGTTGCCTAAGGATCTACCCCAAAACTTACTGATTTGAGAAAACTTATTTTATTATTTCTCTTAATTTGGTGGTTCAGGACTATGGACAGAGCACAGCAAGGCTTATCCAACAGAGCTCCCCAGAGGGAAGCTGCCAGGGTTTCTGTGGGTTCCAGCCTGGTGTAGGTAGCATCACTCCCTCTGGTTCTGTTGCTTAATGTGAGTCTGGGCGTTTCCAAGTCAGGGTGGGATGATTTGCCCAGGGCCACGAATACCACAACTCATGGTGCATTGGGAGCCATCTTGAGACCAGCCGCCAGGCTGGCTGTGCATGCTGGGGCTAGTTACATAAGCTCTCTGTGCCTCAGTGGCCTCATCTGTAAAATGGGGGTAATCCTAGCCATGACCATCAGGTCCGCTATAAGCTTGCAGCAGGTTCATACTTTAAGGCTCTTAGAGCATCTCCTAGCTCACAATGAATCCAATATTGTTTTGAAATTTTAAAAGTTTACAAACAGATGTGTAAGTCACATGAGAGTCAAATAAAGCATTAACTATAATTAATGTCTGCACTGTGATGGCTGGTCAGGGACAGTCTTAAGCAGGAGATCGGTTTTACATGTTCTGAAGTGGCATCTGAGGGATAGACTACGGATGCGTTGTGACATTCTGCCGTGCAGTTTTGCCCTGGGTCACACGAGATCAAAGAGACTTAGAATCATAAGGGCCATTTCCACAGGCCGAAGGGAACTGCCCGCAGTGTCTCCGGCAAAGAGCCTCCTGGCTTCTGTCATCTTCTGGCTGGTGGGATGGCAGCTTCATAGCCTTTCAGAGTTTAACATGAGCTGTTTTAGGGTTTTCCATTTTCTTGGTACTTAAGAGAGAAACTGTGTAAGTCCAGGAGGACAGAAGCATGGGGCCTCAGTCTGACGCAGCGAGGCCCTGTCCTGGTCGCATCGGTAAATGTTTGTCCCAGGGCAGGCCATGGTTCACTCTCTGCCCTGGGCACCTTGGGGGATGCTGTGTTCCGAGGAGAGTAGCACAGTGCAGTGGATGGAGAGGGCAGGGTGGTTGGGCCTGGCGCTGCCCGTCAGCTAACAGTGACTTTACCTGTGTGGCTCAGTCTTGTCTGTACCGAGGAACCACAGTAACTCTGCTACCCTGACCTGCTGCATATGGGGAGCAAGTGAGGGATGAACGTGACGTGTAGAAACACGTCAGCGGTGTTAGCGTTCAGGCATCCAAGGAAGCGTGCCTCTGACCTGGCCCAGCTCCGCGCCATGGGCAGCTGGCACCTGGGCTCAGAGCAGCTGTGATGTTAGGGACAGGGCGGCCAACCCTCAGTTTCTACAGTCTTTTGGGGGTTCAGGGAAGAGGTTGGGTATAAACCGGCTTGGCCGAGGGTGGAGAGCGGAAATATGGCTCTTGGGTGCCAGGCTGTCCTTCGGGCCCCGCTGACTTTCGCAGCATTTGAATAGTACACGTAATCGAGATGACCCTCCACCGGGAACCATAGAATTAAGATTGTCAAGATTTGGACTGTCTTTCACCAAGAGATTATGCTTTCCTGGCACCACAACAAGGCAGCCTGCTTTAGTTCCCCTCTGACGTCACCTGCTCACATCATCTCCCGGCTGGAATGTTCTCTTGATCCCTTAAGCAGTATGTCCTTCTAGCCCTCACTGGGGAGAGGAGGCCTGTGGGTGTGGGGTTGGCTCCGGGCAGCGCCCACAGCGGGCCTCCACATGGAGCCCTGGGGTGAGGCCTGCGTTTCCTGGAGCGGGAGTGGCAGGGCTTTCTGAAGCCCCAGCAGCTCTCAGCCACCAGTGACACTGCAGTGACCCAGGCCCTGGTGGTGGTGGAATTCGCTCTGCACTGGGCCGGGAAGGATGGAGCCCATGGCAGAACTGGGGCAGGCTTCGCGATGCTGAGTTTAGAGATCGTCCAGTCCCCCTGGGAGGGCAGTGTAATGATTTGGAGCGACTGCATGTTTATTACCATGTCCCTCGTGTGACCGCCCCGTCCCAGGGGCTCTTCCTGGTTCATGCAGTGCAGTTGCACCCCTTGGTTTGCAGCCGCACTTCCTGGGGCCTGTTCGCTCGTTGGTCTCGGGGCCACGTGTCGTTTAGATTCTCAGAAATCAAGGGATGCCATGTTTTGCTACATGTTTGTTTTTTAAAAATAAGAACTTGCAAAAAAGTGAAGAACCAAGGTTCACTGTTAGTTGCTTCCAGCTTTTTGATATTTCCCCCCAGAAACAATATTTAAATGGTGATCAGAGTCCCAAACCAGCTCACAATCCATTCTATTTGTGACATTTGGCATAAAAAAAAAGTATTGTCACAGTGCTGGTAACTAATTGGAACTTGAACTTAATTATCACATAAAGATGCTTGCTTGATCCCGCCCCCCGTATTGTGGTTCCTGGGGGAGTAGCAGGATTAGGAGACAATACAGCTCCCAAGGGCACTCAAGGGCACCTCTGCTTCTTCAGGGTGTCGAACCCTGTTTCTTAACCCACAGCGTCCCTTCAGCCTCCATCCGGTGAGTTAACGAGCATCAGTGCTTTCTCAGTCAGAATTATGATCCTGTGAGTTCATACGTGGGCAGCGAGAGGAAGAGCGAGGACGGGGGCCTTCCGTTCTCCTTACTGTAAGTGGGCAGGAGGCAGGAGACTCCAGAGATGAAAGCTGAAGCTGACATTGCCCGAGCGAGGCAGCCGTGAAGCCCCAAAGGGAAAGAACGTGGGAAGCCAAGGTCGTGGGCCCGGCAGAGGTCGGTGCTGGCCATTGGGCTTCCTAACCCAGGGAAGGGCACAGCTTTGCTGGGAATTGGCAGTTAAAACAAGAATCCATTCTCATTGCCATCGAAGGAAAATTGGAGTTTCAGTGTGAGAGTATCCAAGTTTGAATGCTTTTCATGGGCCCCTAATATGATTTCATTAGAAATGGGTTCAAGTAAATTACACACGATTCATCTGTTAAATGCTGTCGCTATGTTTGCAAATGGAATTTCATTTTTAATAAATTCAAAATAAAATGTTCTCATTTGCCAAGATCGTAAGGTAAGAATACAGTTAATGTCTTATTTGTAGAAAGGGGAGTTTAGGTGTCCTTTTGTAAGACATTCCTGTGGGCGTTCCTGTCAGCTTAGAATAAGAAAGGTACACTGTTGCGCATCACAGCGGTTTGTGTTATGTCTGTTAGCATCAGTATCACCATGTCAAGTTCGACAGGCACATCCACACCAAAGGAATCTGGCCGAATATATACGTTGTATATAAAAGAGGAGAAAACCAAATCACTGAGCTAAAAATAAGTGTACTTTCCTTTTAAGATGGCAGTTAAAATGAAAGTTTAAAATTTCTTAGAGTCCACACAAGACCTTATTAATTTATCCTTGGCTCCCTGTTCCTCCCAGGGCATGTTGCTGAAGCGAAGCGGCAAATCGTTGAACAAAGAGTGGAAGAAGAAGTACGTCACCCTGTGCGACAACGGCGTGCTCACCTATCACCCCAGTCTGCACGTGAGTATCGCCCCTCAGAGCGCTGGCAGGCGCCACCTCAGCGTGGACACTGTGCGTGGGGGTGGGGGGTGCTCACGGCAGTCAAGCCCCGTCTCTGAATTGAAGTCGGCTCTGGTCCTGTTCCACCATAAGATGAATAATGTCCCTCACGAAGTCCGATCACGCATCTCTCTCTTCCCCTCCCTAACGGTCCACCTGTGGCTCTCTAATTAATTCTACGGAGAATTTCAGCAGAAGGCACAGATGAGAGTACAAAGACAGGCGCAGGTAGTCAGAGAGGAAGGGGGAAGAGACTGTCTCTCTGAGAACCGAGAATAAGGGGCACACGTGCATGGGAACCTAGGGTTCGCTCTGAGCAGCTGAGGTCAAAATAAGTTAAACGCAATCCGTGACTCAGTTTTTATTGTCAAATAAGAATACATGCCCTAGCCGGTTTGGCTCAGTGGTTGGAGTATCACCCTGTGGACCAAAGGGTCCCGGGTTCAATTCTGGTCAAGGGCACGTACCTCGGTTGCAGGATTGATCCCCACACCCTTGGGGCGCATGCGGGAGGCAACCAATCCATGTTTCTCTCTCATGTCCATGTTTCTCTCTCTCTCTCTGTCTCTCCCCCTCCCTTTTACTCTCTCTAAAAACTCAATGGAAAAATATCCTCGGGTGAGGATCAACCAAAAAATAAAAAAATAAGAACACATACCAGTTCCTAAGGCAAGAGAAGCTTTTCTGTCTGTGTTAATAAAATCTGTTACATTGGTGATTTATATGAGATGAAAAACAGAAGTAATCTTATTATTGGGGGGAAATGCAGACATTCTACCCACAGTGAGTTTCTTTGGGGACCCTGATAAAGGCAGAAGATGGGGTGTTAGTCCCATAGCAGCACATTCCTTGAATCTTGCATGTGCAAGATTCAGATAAATGTATAGATTCTAATATATAGTGTTAGCTGGTTAATTGATTGCATCACTGTGTTAAGCTTTTAATTTAAAAACTTAAATACTTTTAAAATTGCGCAGTTATTGATAAGAAGTTGGAAATAAACAGATTGAAGTAAATGAAAATCACCCCAAAATACTACCTGGAGAACATGACCACTAGCATTTTGGGGGCGTGCTTCTCCCTCCACGAGCATACGGGCACCTGTGTAAGCTGACTGGCCCCCACTCGTAGGCAATGATGAATCATACGTGCCTTCGCATGTCGGCAAGGAAATGGGCTGTGTACCCCGATTCTTAGTGGTTATAGAATGTCCGTCGTGCAGGTATATCCTGGTTGGTTTAACACTATCTCCAAAAGGGACATTTGGCAAATAAATGCACTTTGAGTTATCTTTACCAAGTAGCTAATCAAAGTCTTCTGTCCACCTCCGGGCTGTGTCCATTTCCCTCTGACATGTCCCTAGCAGCTGGCCTCCTGAATTGCGTCTTCTGCTTTGGGTGTATGTTGCCGAATTCCTGGGAAGAATATTGGTTTTATCTCCTCTGGCGATATGTCAGAGGGGACTTTCCCACCGCACCCTCGTGAACATTTACCTTAAAAATAAATTACATATTTCCCAACGTGACAGGTAACAAGTGGCGTCCTTGCTGGGTGCACTGCCCCCCTTGTCTTGCAGCAGTGGCTTCACCTTTCAGAGCCGCGCTGGAAACCAGGAGTTCCGTCAGCATCCCTGACATGTTTCTGATGGTGGTGGGAACCTCCCAGGTACACGTTCTCGAGGGGACTGAGGAAATTCCTTGGTGCTTGGTTTATTTGGGGATGAGAGTCAGGTTGCTTCTCCAGGTGGCCTGCCTCAGACCGGTGCTGCCCGTCCAGGTCTCCAGCCCCTGCCCATCAGAACCCCACAGCAGCACAGGTCTTCTAGGGGTTCTCTCCCCAGCGCTGCTGCACCGGCAGGGGTGCGGGGGGCTGCCCTCTCCTGGCTGAGTTCTTCCCAAGACCCCGTGAGAGAGCAAAGGTCTAATTGTTGACCAGGTTGCTCTGTGCCATTTAGAGAGAGAAGTGCAACCAAAACATTCTTCTTGCTGGACTCACTGGGCAATAAAAGATGAGATCTGAGTGATGATGCCATTTCAAGGCCCCTCACTGTCACCCGCTAAGCCCAGGCCTGGCCGCAGGGACCTTGGCCGCTTCCTGCCAAGGACAAAAGTGGCAACAGCTGTGTGTACAGAACATGCCCGTGGGAGGGCTAGCGCCTTACTTTTCAGTCCAGCCTCTAGCTTATGTAATCACCATCAGTCCCTCAGAAGCCCTCCGCACAGGCTTTGTCTTGGATGCCCCAGCGTTTGCCAGGCCCATCCTTCTTTCTGTACGTGCGCACGGATATTATTGGAATGTGGAAAAGGAGCACCGTGGGGCTTCGTTACATAATCACATGGCAAGCAGGAGCCCACGTCATTGCAAAGTGCAATCCAGTCAACGCCAGGGTCCTGGGCCTGAAGTTATGGACGCAGGTACAGAGCTGCCTAAGGGAGCGGCTGAATCCACGAATGATTGGAATCACTCAGAGGTGGGAGGTGGGGAGGTGGTGTAACCTTTATTGTCAGCCTTCATCGATTCTGCTTTCACCTCCTGCATTGTGGGCAGAGAGGAGGAGACACGGCACAGGAGGCAGCTCTGCCGGTGGCTTTCAACCCCGGCTGTCTTAAAGATCAAGTGGTTCCACAGTGGGTGCCCACGTTAGCCACAGGGCACGGTGGGGCAGGGTCGCCGAGCATTTCAGCGGTGCTGAGTGGGGGATGTCCTCAGAGAGCCTACACGTCTGCAGCGTTGTGTCTCTCACCGAATGTGTTCACCAGCTGTCTGGGGTGCACCTGGGCTGCCCCCTTGTCAGAAGTTGGAGCCCAGGAAGTTCAGGTCACATGTCCACCCCTCTGCACACGACGAGGCCCCTCCTTGGAGGTGGTGCCTGTCAGGGACATTGAGCACCGGCTGCACAGTGTCTGGAGATCTGGGCAAGGATCCTTTCCTGGGTGGGAAGTTGGACGGTGCTGTCTTATAAAAGGTCGCTTCGTAGTACTAAAGAGTGGGCGAGTCTGAAATTTTTACCCAAAACTCTTAGCAGCGAGGCTAAAGGAGTCAGTTGGGCTTCTAAGCCTGTTTCAAAGTTAGAGCTGTTGGGGGGCGCCAGTCACGTGGACAGACGAAGACTTACCAGAAAAACCCAGTTCACGAGGTTCGTCTTTCTCTCTCAAAATGCTGATGTGAGGTGAAATAAAGCCTACCCCCAGTGAGATGGCAGGTGGAAAGCTCACCCAAAATAATGAAGTGCTCCCAGCAGCGTGCCCCGCGGCTGCCCAGGCCACAGGACTTTGGTGCTGAATCCCAGGCACCCTGGGACAAAGTGGTCACCCTCCCATTAGCACCCACCAGCTCACCTGCTCCTTCACCTCCACCTGAGATTTTGCAAAGACAACCTGAAACGTTTAAATCCGACTAAAGTAGTGAAAAGCAAGACCTCCGAAGCGCCTCCGTGGTGTCTGTTTTTGTTTCTCTGGGAAGTTTGTCCACCGCAGACCTTGAAACAGCACCGGGTGCCCGGCTTCCCTGGGGGATACGTATGACTGTCCCGTGGTTTTGTGACACTTGGCTGGATCCCAGTCGGGCCGGCGAGGGGCAGCCTGTTCTGTGGACTTAAATGCGAGCCCCAGGGAGCACCTTGATAGAAAAGTGGAGGGATAATGAGAAAGAGCTCGGACCTCGGGGCTCCACAGCTCAGCATCGCCGCCCATTCATCTTGCTTGTCACGGGAGCAGCCGTGAGGGCACAGCTTGCATTCCTGCTGACAAAGGTGTGTGCCGGGGGATGCCTAAGTGCACCTGTAAGAATCAGGTCGTGGCCCAGTCGAGCCAAGGTCTTTCCAGTGCCCTTGTCAGGAGAGCTCTCCTGAGCTTCTTCATGAGGAGGTGTGGCAGGTGGACAGTCCACGTCGCTGGCCCACCTGGCTGGCGCACCTGGCCTGGCCCACCTGGCTGGCACACCTGGCTGGCGTGTTCTTTTCCACTTTGTGTTGCCCGAATTGGAAACAGCTGAGACCCTGTCATTTCTCCCTGACTTCCCTTCTTACAAGACCTTCATTTCCATTCCAGCTACATGAAGCCTTAGATTCTGCATGTTGTTGATGTCTGGGTTTTTTTCTCATCAGTAGAGTCAAACTCGAGCTCTAAATTGTCATCAGAGTGCTGATTTCAGTAAGTTTCATATCAAACAGAAAATCTACTTTATTAGTGATGCAAACTAACAAAAACAATAATTTCCTAAGTCAGTGTTCTGAAAATAATTCAAGGAGAAAGGGAAGGGATACCTGTGTTGTGAGAACAGCTCTTGTTTGTACCCACGCTGGTCATCGTCATTCAGAGTACACACTCCTCACATAAAACAAGGACGTTGTACTCGAGGATCCAGGATTCACAAGAACCTGTGATGAGCGCTCCGGCCAGCCTCACACACCTGCTTAGGTGAACCTTGAGTTTCTTGAGGTGGTAGGCATTGAGTTGCCCTCGGAGAAACCCTGGGTTGTTTTCCCCAGAACTTTGCAGAAGTCAGACTAGTTTGAGCCTAGACCAGTGGTCGGCAAACTGTGGCTTGCGAGCCACAGTTTGCCAACCACTGGCCTAGACAATAAGATGTACAAGTTCACAGCGCCGATCTCCAGGCGAGGAGCCTTCTGAGTCATAGAATGACCGACGACCCTGAGAAGACAGGCCCCCCTTTCTTCCTGGGAATGATGTCAGACGTGTCCTGTCTCTGCCACGGGCCTGCAGTCCGCATTAGTCATTCTGTGATGAAGGATTATTTGATCTTGTTTCCCTTTATAAGCCACAGGGCTGGAAGCTGGGCTTCCTCTGTGTGTTCCTTTCCGGTCTGGCTTCTGGCCTTTGCAGCTGCTGTCCAGGTGGGCCTCACGCCCTTCCTCCAGGAGAGGGCCTGCCGACTCCCAGGCACCGTCCCTGTCCGTGCTGCCCTGGACAGCATAGCTAATGGAGGGCGAGGACTGGCCC